AAATAAAGGAACAATACTAAAATAACAGACATGACAAAGCGTCAGCTAAATGAATAAATGTAATGTAATTTCTTTAATAAATATTTATCAGTCTATTCGGAGTTTCCACTGGTTGTCCTCAGTTTATGACATGAGGAGATATATTTTGCTGCAATGATTTGGCATTCTGGCATTTCTCCCAGTAAATAGGGGAGTTTCCGTGTGTCTGATATAAATTTGAATTCGGGGTATATGTGGGAAATGTTTGTGAAGTCTATCTAAGTTGTTAAGAGTTGTCTGTTTTGATATTTTTGAACAACAAAATAAATATTGTTAAACTGAATACAAGTAATGATATCATTTCAGCCAGCTTCTGCAGTCAGGCTGTTTGATATCTTGTGGATTCACAGACTCACCGAAGGAACCAGACCAGCTGATCAATACCCGACTTTAAGCTGACTTGCACACTGGGTGAAATGTGTAATGTTAAGGTCCTCCCGACTTTTCAGGAGGTGCACTTCGGGCTACAATGCAGCGTTATGGCATTTGAAGTTTTTGAATTCTCAGTTTGTCTAGCACTGTAAACATCCGCGCTTTTTAAGTTTTTTGATTTACAATACTGAAGTTTTAGCCAAAAGATTTGGACTAAAAAATTAGAATCACTTACATAACTATAAATGTGTACGGGAAATGACAGAAAATTAAAATATACTGTTATGGTGCTGTGTAAAATTTGAGTGCTCCTAAATTTTCTGGCACCTAAATTAAAAATTTTGGCTTACAGTGGAACCATGCCAGAAGTTATTCTGGAGCCCTGCCTTCTCGTCGTGGATGCAGGCAGTAGGGGTGTCAGTAGTCAGGAACTCAAACTAAGAATTTAAACACAGTGGTATGTTCAAGACTTTAAAAATAATTTTACATTAAAATAATTTTGTGTTAAAACATTAATTAAATGTGTCGGTTCTGATGAAACAGCTAATCATTAGCGTAGTTATTGCTGCTGACTGATGTCTTTCTTAACACCTCAGTCTCATCTTCACACCGTTGACTCGGTGATGTCATTAAGTTTTGAGTGTGTTGCTGTATAAATTAACATGTTAATGAGGAAAAACTGAACTGAAGACAAGAAAATACTCTCCAATTAAACGAGCACAGTTCATCAACAGTGATGGGTCAGACTGAGGAACTTTCTGTTCATTTGGGAACGTTTGTTAATCAGCACATTAATGAACTCACTGAATGAGCTTATTAGCAGAATAGGTTTGTGTGATAAATCGCCAGGGGCTTCCTGTATTTCCCTGTAAGCGCCTATAATACAATGCTTTATAGGATAATAGGTGTGTTACAGATGATATATGTGACCTGAGAGAGAGAGAGAGAGTGTGTGTTCTCGTTTTCTATCTGGCAAGTATTTGCAAAGTCAGAACAGTAGTATCTCATTCGTATCTTGTAGCACATATTACTAATTTCCCAGTGAGTTCTGACCTGAAAAGTGAGGCTTTTTTTAGAAAGCGAGGACGTTGTTGGAAAGCGAGGACGACTGTGGAAAGTAAGCATTTTTAATATTTTAATTAAAACATTTTTCGAGAAAGTGGGCACACTATTGTGCATTTAATACATACTAGAAACATTTTGGGTAAAAAAAAGATAAATTTGAATGTTTTGCAAAGTGAACATGTCCTTACTTTTTAAGGAGCTGTTTGACATGGTTTTATGGTTAAGGGAAGAATTAAAGTTGTGGGCTGGGGAATGCATTTTGTTGTCCCCACAAGTTTAGAGCTTCAGCCTTGTGTGAATATGTGTGTGTTTTTCTATCTGGGACAGTTGGGTGTTGTTTTAGCATGTTGGTGTTTTTGCATGTTGGAGTTTTAAACGCTGGAAGCAGTCCTGACTGTCAGCCAGCTCCCTCTCTCTCTCTCTCGGCTGAAACTCCTTTGTTCGTCAGAAAAACTGCAAACACAAACTCTGAGAATCTCTGAGGTTATATTTAGGTCACAAGAACATTATCCTCCAGCTACCGCACCTGGTCTTAACTTAAGTTTTCAGTGAGATCTTTATCATTTGATTGCTGGTAGGCCATGTCGACATTTCAGTTTTAGTTTCCGTCAATGAAACTTTACACAGGAAGCTACAGATCAATAAATCCAGCTGTTATCACCAAAGAAAAGAGGCGTTTGTGCTCGCTGGTCATCTCTGCTGCTGATCATTCACTCACCTGTTCCTTAAAATACTGTTTTTGTACCCCTCAAAAGTACAGAAAATGGCAAGAGTTCCCCACAGACATTGCTTTTGTGGTCAGGACAATGATATTTTAATATTAACCTATTTCCAATGAGAAAACAGGTGAAATTGTGTCTTTTCATTCACATAAAGTCAGAAAAACAACAACATATGAATCCAAATAAACATGTATTTATACACCAGCTTTGATGGGTATTTGTTGCAGTTACGGAGCAGCAGGGCTTTGAGGGTGGTGGGCCCCCAGAAGGTGCTGATGCCACCACATCAAATCAGAGATGTGAAATTTACATTAGCGTACACCTTGTGCTTTTATGTTAGCTTTAACGTGATTTAACGAGATTGCCATGTTTTTTGCAGCTGCACTATTCCACCAGATTTAGATGTTTTATTTCACACACATTTCCTCCTAATGAAGTTTGGAGTCTTTATTAGAATTAAAATAAAGTTCTGTGGGTTTGACAGTGGTCTCCATCGATGGTATTAAAAATATAACTCACCGTCTTCAGCTGTCTTAGTGTTGAAGAGGCGGTTCAGTTCTGTCCGCTCCTGAAACTGAGACGATAATGAAGCTGTGTGTCGGCTCCTTTTCTACTTTCTCAGATTGAGGATTGACTTTGACGGAAGCGGCGTGTCCTCGTCCTAACAGCGACCTGCCGCCTATTTTTACATCAGCTCGTCAGACGCCCGCTGAGAGCAGCTTTGATATCTGCCTCCTCTCCACACTTTTATTTTCCTCTCCACTCCACTGAATCTCTTTGTCTCTGTCTGCGCCTCTTTGTCGTTTCAGTTTGTGTGTTTTATTGGATTGACAGCAGAGAAGCTGCGAGCTGTGAGCAGAGCGGCGTCGCTTAGATATATTACATGATGTATTGGATTTCTTTCTTTCGTTTGTAGACAGTGAGAGAAGGTTGTGTTTCGGAGGATGGAAAGGATCAGATGAAGAGAGATGATTGGACAGGAGGTTCAGAAATCAATGATGTTACTGTTAAAGAGAATCTTTCACTGGTTTGTAGATTCAAGACAATTTTTCTCTCTAATCAGGTGCCAAATCATTCGCAACATATAAAAACAACTATGTTTAAAAGCATTTACATTTATTCATTTAGCTGCCGCTTTTACCCAAAGCGTTACAACTGCTGTCAGAGGTCGCACAGCTCTGGAGCAACGAGGGGTAAACGTCTTGCTCAGGGACACATTGGTGTCTCACAGTGGGTTCGAACCCGGGTCTCTCACACCATAGGCATGTGTCTTATCCACTGCTCCATCACCACCATCACCATGTTGATCAGCCTGCAAATCGGGCTTCAGCAGGATGCAGCAAGTGGGAGACGAAGATAAACAAAAGCAAGACAAGCGATCAAACGCCACAGCGAAGTGGAGAGCTGCACACTGCATCCTGGTTAGTGTTGGAAGATGTCGGTCTGAGGAACGTCCTTAAAATCACAGCTTGGACCCGCTGGGCCGCTCTGCGCTCCTCAGGTGATCAGACAGCGCTCCGCGACAGCTGGAGTGTTTGCTAACGATATGCTGTGTTAACATCACTTTACTGTCTGGCAGGAGTAGCGATTACTTACCCATGATAGAAACTAATGTGTGTAGATCAGCTGTTATCAAGCATGCAGTCGATGGTCCTGTCACGCACTGCACATGATAACTCCCACTACGTTTTATGGTGCGCTTACTTTACCGCGGGGGTGGGGTCTATTACTCTGTCGAACTGTATGTAAAGACTTCTGATACCATTGCCTCCGCCGATGCAAAGCGGCCGTCAGTAAAATGCATGTTGCAGACTGTATATAAGATGGTGGCAGGTGAAAGTGCAACGCGTTTTCTGCCATCTGTCCTCCAACACCGCACGCACAGATGCCATGATGAAAATGAACAGCACACTAAACCAAGAGGAGGAAACTAAAAAAGAAAATGAAGACCCTCTGTTAGCTAACTTTCTGCAATAACTATGCTAGCTAACTACAACTAAGTTAACTAAACTAGAAAGACAAACCAACAATCAGACACAGAGAGACGCTTTTTAAACCTTATTTTGGGGCAAAGTCGTCAAAATTTTTCAGCTATTTTTATTAGATTTTACTACTGATTCTGCCCGGAGGCGCTGCCAAGATGGCTGACGAGTGGCAGGACTTCCCTGTAAGGACTTTGCTATTGCTGCTGAGCGTCAAGTTAGCTTCGCAGCAGCAACTGCACTGACCATATACTAACCCACAGCCTAGCTAACGTTAGCAACCTGACTGGCTGTGTTGTGGTTTTTGTCCTGGAGCTTGATTTCTCCGGATTCGCTTCCCCCACCTTTTTAAGTATTTATTTCTTACCCGCATCTGAACCGTGACATCAAATCCTGTTTTGACATGAATGGTTAATGTGACCGAATGTCATTAATCGCCTCTATTCAGTCAAAGTCTCGCTGTGATCAGAAGTTTGGAAGCAGGAGAAGAAGAAGATGATGATGTGAAGTGTTTTTCTTCTCCCGGTTGATGTTGTGATATTTGGGTCACATCCTGCTGTAAATAAAACACAATAAATATGAAGCCGTTTTCTTCTTGTTCTCTCATCTGTCAGTCGGCTGCTTTCGCTGTCATTAATCCAAACCCCCCCGTCAGTTCGATTCAAAGGGCTTTATTGGCATGAAAGTTTCAAGAACAATGCTGCCAAAGCATCAAAATACGGTAAAATATTTAGACAGCACAGAGTAATATGAACATAACACAACTTTGAGCGGACGGTAACATCGCCAAAGCAAGTGTGAAACAGAACTGTGATATCAAAATATATAGATTTTCAGAAATCATCCTGGATCTATTATGTCTCTGTGTTATTGATAATGGTCTCTCTTCTTCTTCTTCTCTGGTAAAGCATCAGATGTCTGTCGTCTTCTTGTTATTTCCCGGCGTTTCTCACTCACCTGCTGCCGTCGTCTTGTTTCTGTCTGCTGTCTTCATTATGTGATGCTTTGCTTGTTAATGGTTGTTAATCAGAATCTAAAGAGGTGAAATGAAGATTTGGGAGGTTGAATGAAACGAATCAGGACTCAAATCAACTGTAAAATCTCTTGAACACAACAGCACCCCTCAGAAAGATGGAGTATATAATCACAGAGTCGTATAAGAAGCTGTAGAAACATCTAAGGTAATTAATTATAAGGCTATAATTTAAAATAACTAAATAAAATGGGCTTGTTTACAGTGACACTGATGATGCATTTTATGGAGAAGTGATGTTGAATTTACTGACGTCGTTCATGTTGTGGGGATTTTCTTCCTTAATGAAAGACAGTGAGCTTTCTCACTTAGAATTGTGTGTATTGCTGTGTATTTACTCGTGCCACGAGATCTCGAGATATTAACGTGATGATAGGAGTGTGACGGTGAAACAAGCATAGCAGACCCCGCCCCGTTCAGGAGATGCAGCGGGCTGCCTGCTGATTGGAAGAATGGCGGTTCAATCCCCCCGGCCCCCCCAGACTACATGTCGAACCGTCCTTGGGCAAGATACTGAACCCCAAATTTCTCCTGATGGCTGTTCCATCGGTGTGTGAATGTGATGTAGTGTAAGACTAGAAAGGTGCTTTACAAGAACAGACCATTAACCGTTTTAGTTTAGGTTAACTTTATAGTCCCCAGGGGGAAATTCTGCCTGGGCACAGTGCAGTGTTGCTTCATAAGAAACATCACAAAAGACATCAACATGACCCTGAGAAGCATTTCACAAGAGGAAAACCATTGCTCCATTGAACTGAAGTTTGTGTAAAGTGCATGTTCTAAGGTGCTAGTATGTTTATTGCACGTTGCCCTATTGCACAGGGATCACAAGTAAAGTGATGAAGTGCTCACAGCACTATTTTACATTTTACAGCAGCTTAATGGAGGCTGGCACAAATGATAATTTCAGGCGACAGGATTTGCATTTTGGTACACGGAGTCTTCTTCTTGATGGCAGGGTTTCGTATTCAGGACGAGGGGATGTTGAGGGTCTGATTTAATTTTCCTAGCCGGTTTCATAAGTGCCTGCTTCATACAGGCTCTGTGTAGGCTCATAGTCTCTCCTCCCTATAACGTTCATGGCTGTTTTGTGCATGTTGGCAAGCTTGTTTTTCAGCTTAACTGTAAAGTTGCCAAACCATGCAGTAATTCCATATCTGATAACACTGTCTAAGATTTCCTGGTAGGAAATCATCCCAATCTGACTGCTCACACCATGCAACCTTAGACGCAGTTTGTTACACAGGTTGTCAACATGTGTATTCCAGCAAAGAAGAGTGAATGAGGACACCTGAGTTACTTCCTGGTTTTAATGACCACTGGCTCATGGTTAATAACTTGCCTTGGGTCGAAGACCATATCCTTGCTTATTTAACTAATGTGTGCAGTCTGTAGATGATAAATCAAATTTATTGCAGCAGTTGTGCCCCATACAACACGACAACTTTTGGAGTCAGTCACTTTTCTACAGCAAAACTGCCATAAAGTCAGACACACAACAGCAGACCATCATGAACGCTCAAAACAGACCCACATTAAGCTGAACCGGAACCAAAGACACATAAAACACAGTCTGAATTATCATATCTAATTCCTAATTCTTATCACTTCAAGTTTTAAGTTTCAACTTTTTTAGCATATATCTCCTTTCCTCCTGCTCATGTTGACTGTGAATGAAATACAATCTGCATTCAAAAAAACATTTGTCATACACTGTTGGGGAATTGGGAATTTTTTGGTCTAAACCGAGTAGGCCAATCTCTAGACCTGCTCTGGATAAAAAGTGCAATGAGATGCCTTTTGTTATGAATTGGCGCTGTATAAATAAACCTGAATACATTTGAAATAACAGGCCTGGATTTTAACATTTACCTGGGGAGGTAAAACTCCTGAATTCCAGAGTGAAAACAAATATCATGCTTATTGTAGAAAGACTCACAAAATACTTAAAGTGAAATAATAAACTACATTGATGTCAAAATGTGTATCTACAATAACTAATCCTAAATTTCACTGCTCATGCCAAAGCACCCATGTTGGCTAACAATTACATAAAATATGAAATGATATAGCTTAGTGGTAATGAAATGACAGGATGGGCTGTCCGCTAGCTAACATCACATAGCTCATTTTAAATAAAAGAAATGCTAATTATGAAACTCAGAAGGTAGGAAAGTTAAGTGTATTAAAGAAACTAGATAGCTAACTACTGACGTTAACTTACGGCGTCTCCACCAGCGTGTAGCGGACTGGACAGGAGCAGCTGCGCTGCGAGTGATGTGGGCAGATAGACGTTCAACTAGCATCAAAGTTAGGAAATGGTATGGTCCATTTTAGGGGTGTCTGAAATCATATTTCAAGATTCTTAAATATAAGGCATGAGTACAGGAAATACATTTTAATATTTATAATGACAAGTAAGAAAGACCCCCCCTGAACTGTTGTTTTTGCCGAACATTTCATTTCAAAATTTTGCCCAATAAAGACTATTTTTCCAGTCATAGATTTCCTCATTGAAGATTTCTTAGAAATTGTGTTAAAATATCACTCGCTCGCACAGCTTCTCTTACCACTGTTACGCAGACGATACGCAACTCTACCTATCCTCCCCGCCAGACGACCCCACCGTCTCGGCACGGATCTCAGACTGTCTCTCGGGCATATCTGCATGGATGAAGGCTTGCCACCTTCAACTAAACCTCTCTAAGACTGAACTCTTGGTCATTCCAGCCAAGCAATCTGTCCACCATAACATCGAATAACAAATTGACTCCTCAACCATCACTCCAACAAGGGTGGTGTGAACAGCTGTCCTTTTCAGACCATGTTGCTGCTGTCTCTCGGTCAAACCCCCCCCAATCCCCCTCCGTAATTCAAAACATGGTTGTTGTCACACCATTTAACAAATGTGTCTATTTCGTCTTAGACACCGAGGAGTCCGTATCCTTGTGCAAAAGGCTTAGAATCACGGTATCATCAGCAAATTTCATTCGGTAAATTTTTCCTGTCGTTTCCTCATTGAAGATTTCTCAGAAATTGTGTTAAAATATCACCTTGTGAGCTAGAGGTGCATTACTAACACCAACTGGTAAGCGCTTTGAGGTTGAAAAGACTAGAAATACGGAGCATTTACATCCTGCCCCGAATATACAGCTGAAGGGTTGCTCCAGTGGTGGAAACGGCCACGGCTGAGAGTAAAAGCATCTACAGGGAAGAAGACTCAATGCTGAATCTTCAGCAGCTGGAATCCTCAGTCTGTAGTTTGTTTTTGAGCGATGCTGTTTTAAACGCAGACAGGAGGTTCATTTGAATCACTTTGTTGATCTTGTTCTGCCGGACTAAAAAACATTAATATTAGTCAAAAAGCTTCGTAGGAGTTGGTGTGAAACAGATTTCCTCAGTGGTTTGGTCTGTCAGAGGAAAGTGCTGCTTGGCGTCTCCATCGTACCAACGCAGGACAGGAGGAGGAGGAAGATCCAAGAAGAAGAAGCCTGAGCAGCATTTGGTGTTTATGGTGCAGAGGAGTGTTTTTATTTGGCAGGAGGAAGAGTGAGATTTAAAGCTGTCATTAAAACCAAAGTTTGGCAAGAAACAGTTTCATCTGTCGGCAGTGTTTGAGCCAGGAGGGTCAGCCCTCAACAGGAAAACGCCCAGCATCCTTCTCCAGAGAGAGAGAGAGAAATATTCAGTTTATCATCAGCTGTTCAGAACAATTTGAAATGTCAATATTTTCAATAGTAGATAAACTTCTGTTGAAGTGTTTTCTACATTTGTGTCGTGGTGAGATTGTGCAGACACATTTCCAGATGTTTGATAACTGAACTGGAATGAGGAACCCAAACGCAGCAGACATCTCTTCCACATCTTGTTCTGGTAGATCAACTTTGATGCTAGTGAAAATATCTTCTGATCGTCACAGAATGTCTCCTTCCTGAACACATTTTTATGACTTTTCCTGTACTTCCTTTTAGCTCATTACAGCCACAGTAATGCAAGTGATGGACCGAACAAACTACAGATCAGGATTTGGCTCTCGGGATGTTTTTTTTCTGTGCCTTCCATCTGAGAGAGTTAGTTGGAATATGCTCTTGATTTTTTGTTAAAGAAAGCGAAGCTGTCTGTCAAATGTCTGTCTGACGGCTGTGGTGAAATCACAAACTCAGTGTTATGCTAGTGTAGCCTGTAGCCTGCAGCAGCCACAGAGATCTATGAACGTCTTCCTAACTCCGAACCGACAGATTTGTTTCAGTTTCAAACCCCATCCGACATTTGTCAGACTTCACACAGCTCTCTCTGAGACACCAAAGGCTTTATAAAACTTTCTCACCTGGAAACACACTGAAGTGGGGAAACAGTGTTGAAGATACTGTAGCCACAATGAACATGCTAATAAAGTCTATTAAATATCCAACAAAATAAAAGACTGGTCCAAAGTGGTGACAGGTTTGTGATCTGCCACCTCTGTGGTCGAGGTTTGGTTCAGACACAAACACCATTGTTAGGGCTGGAGAAGGATCGTCATGGGCTTTGGTAGGAAATGCGATGTGAAGAGCGGCCTCAATACATCCTTCCTGATCTCTCTCACGCCGTCACTTCCTGCTGACAGACGAGTCTCAGAGGAGCTCTCTCTCAGGAAGAATTAACCTGGATGATCTTCACATTTGGAGCTTTACTCATTCTGGTTCTGTCTCCAAAGAGTGCGGTAACGTCACCCGCTGGTTTGTGGACCTGCCGCTTTGAAGCGTCAAAGTTGGGACTTCCGTCGTCGCCATCTTGGTTTTCTGAAACTGTGGCTCAGGAGGAAGAGCGGGTTGCCCGTTAATCGGAAGGTCGGCGGTTCAGTTCCCGGCTCCTCCAGGCTTCATGTCAAAGTATCCTTGGGCAAGATACTGAAACCAGCGCCGCGATGTAGTGTAAAAGCGCTTTGAGTGGTCAAAAAGACTAGAAAGGCGCTATACAAAAACAGACATTTACATTTGACGGGACTATATTTGGACGTGAATCTAGCTAGCTTGGTTAGCAAGGTGCATCCGTAATTCACATTAGCTGTGATATTAGCTGTGATGCTAAGTTTGGCTAGCAACAAACAGGCTTAAAACAAAATGTTCTTCCTGGAAAAATGAGCAGCGACTCCTGATGAGCTTTTTCAGCGGCGCTGGTTAAATGTACACAGAGCAGCGGATACGAGTCGCCTCTGTCCTGATTGACAGGTCGCCATGGTAAAGACTTGTCAATCAGCTTGTAGCTCCGCCCTAAAGCCTCCCCTGCTTCCTGGTCTCTGTTCCTCTAAATGGGACCATAATTTACTAAATGAACATCATGCTGTGTTGAAGAAGACTTGAAACTAACGACTGAGACCAGAAACTCATCAGGAAAGTGTTTACTGAGGGAATAAATCAGCTGACAAGTAGAAACATTTTCTCACAGACTTCTATACAATCACACTTCTTTGAGTCGCCCAACTTTGTGAAAGAATAACACGTCATCAGTCTATAAATCACATTATTCCCTGAATGATATGTGTAGCTGTGCCTGCTGGGAAGGCTTGTTGTTCCTTTTTAGAGATGTTAAGGGGCGAGCTTAAAAAACAAATGCTACTATATCAGGATTATGGTTGTTGTGATATTATTTACTGCTGGGATGGTCCTTTCTTATTGGTTCTGTAACACAGCTCTGTTGTTTTAAAATGTAGTAGATGGTTTCTTGTGAACCTCGCTCCCCACCCCCCCCATAAAACATTTGACAGATAAGAGGGTGGTGTCTGCCCTCTTCCCCTCTCTCAGGTCGGGGATTAAGGGCAGCAGGGATTATCTGATCTCTGTCCTGCTGAAGGCCAGAGACGCCCCGCTGCACAGTGAAACACCACAGATGCCCGACAGCAGATTTATTACTGCAGCAGCCAAACAACACAACATCACGTGATCCTAAACTCAGACCTGCAGTTTCACCTTAAACATCCCAAATCAGCTGTTTTTGCTGTTTCCACACTCTGTGTTTAGCTCCTTCAAATCCACTGTATTGAAGTTAAAGTTTATTATATGTAACTTTCAGTGGCAGAATCTCTAGAGATGGTTTCAGGTAAGCAGGATTTGTTTGCGTTAAACTGGGACACCCGCAGCTCATTGTATTAAAATGACAGGAGCTTCACCTTTTCGGTCTTGTCACTGAAAGCTTTCCAGCCGCCGCCGACATACCGTCAGGGAGCCGCAGGCGTCTGTCTTTTAAAGGCGTCTAAGCAAAATGTTTAATGTCATCGTGCTTCTTAGCATAAATACCTTCACATGGCAGCACACGTCATCTGCTGGCGTTTGGCTGGAGCATTTTATCACACACACACAGTCGTGAGGAAGAAGTTGGGGCTTTAGGGCATTTTCCAGCCGGGGGGATAAAGACTGGAGGGAAACTGGGAGGAGGTCGAATCTTATCGGATTTAATCCAAAGACAGACGAACAGCCCCGCCCTCCCTCGCCAACTGCTCAAGAACACACACACACACAGAAGGAGATTAACCCCTTCAGCCTTTTAAAGTCTCCGAATTGAGGCCGTGCCCACAATTCCTTTGTTTTATGAAAGTCAGGTCAAATCTGTTCAGGTTTATTTCTATAGCGTCAAGAAGCTATCTCACTGCACTTTTCACAGAGAGCAGGTCCAGACCGTAATAATATTATTTACAGAGACCCAACAATTTCAGCCATGAGCAAGTTCTTGGAAGGAAAAAGCCGCCTCACCAGGCAGAAGCCTTGAGAAGAATCTGGATCCATGCAGAACGTTTGCTACGCTAACTCCTGCCGTCCAGACTAAAACTGCGTACCAGAAAATCCTAAAATAGAGAGATTTGAAAAAGCTGCTGACCCACGTCTTGGTTTAAAACTCTGGGGCAGTGAATCACCTTTGGCTTCCTGATGGGCTCTTATCAGTCATGCAAAGCAGAAACACGATGCTGCCGACAGAGTTTTGCCTGCAGAAAGCGACGCAGGAGGGGCTGGAAAGGGAAGAAATCGAGTTAGTAATATGCATTAATGGGATAAGAATGCATACAGATGGAGAGGGAGAAGCCCGGTGCATCATGGGAAATCCCCCGGCAGTCTAGGCCTATAGTAGCATAACCAAGGGCTGGTTCAGGACTCATTATTATTTATATTTTAATTAGCATTATGTATTAATGCTAGTATTTTCAGGATGATTGAATAAAATATTGAATTATTAATGAAGTTTTAAAATATTATTTTGGATACATTTTTATATTAACTGAGTAACAAATATTCTTTTTACAATAATCATAAATAAATTAGTAAATTAGTTAATCGAGGGCTGTACATTATTTTTCAGATCGATTAATCTAATGACTAAGAAAAAAACCTTTTCTATGACTGGATTAACATACCAATTAAATCCAAATCCAACATGGCTAATCAATGAGTCAATATTTTATTCAATCGTCCTGATTAAGCACGTGAGAATAATGACGACAGCAGGTGTGATGATAATAACAATAAGAGACATTAATTAGGCTACTTCACTTAAAACTGTAATGTTTTCAGTTTTGAGTGATGCAGTTTGATAATCAGATGTATGTACTGTGCAGACAGTCACAGATCGTCTGTAACGTCCGGCTGTTTTCTCGCTCATACGTGGCCGTTAAATATGAAACGGTCGAACGTTACATGACACACGGCGTGACGTTATGCCCTAGTTAATCGTAAAATTGAAAAACTGTTTGTTAGATTAGTCGATTTAAAAATGAGTGGTCAGGCGGAGCATCTTTTTCTACGTTTGCCAGCTTGCCGAGGCTCTGCTCTGTACTTGTTGTTTGTCTGCCTGGTTTTTGTCCCAGTTCGAGACTCTGAAAGTTTGGAGTTTCAGTCTCTGACCTCGTTTCCTGAGCAGCTCCGAAAACAAAACCCTCCGTCACCCGTCAGCTGCTGCTCCGTCTGACAAAGTGGAAATGAAGGAAAGTAGATTGAGTGTTCAGGGAGGGATTTTTTTTAGACCTCCTGTTGGTCACTTGGTCTTGGAGGTGGCCCACTTTGAGGCAGGTGTTATTCATTTGTTTTTTAAACCATGTCCCAAATTTTGAGTGCGCCAAAGTTTCCTGTCTGCCCCAGAAAACCTGGAGCTGAGGAGATAAACTCGCGCCTCCAAATGTGAGAAAAAACGAGAAGAAAGATGATTACCTGAAGGTGATCTCTCTACGTCTCCGAAGTCTGGAGGGTCCAGTCTGTTAAAGTGTTCTCATTTTGTCAAGCGAGGACTTAAGAGGCTCGATTGAGTTGACTCGTCTCTGCCTCTCAGGAGAAACGACTCTCCGCCGCAGTTAGAGGATAATTCGGTCAGTTAATAAAGTCTGACGGTTTAAGCGAGATGAACAAAGCTCCAGGTCTGACGGACTTATTTGGAAGAGGAAACAAAGGTGGACGTTTGAACCGTCCGTCCTTCCAGCTCTGACCTACTGCACTAGTGTCTCAACACATTCTCACTGCCAACTCCCAAAAAGTCCTGAAATGTGGGTTAAGGTTAGGAAAGGATCCTGGTTCGGGTTAAAATACGTCACTTTCGTCAATTTACGTAACTTCAATAAAAATATTTAATGTTGACTTTTTGTTCCACACGGGACACGAACCCCAAACGGAGGTATTAATATTTAAATTTTAGACCACTTGATTCTGGCGTCAAGCTTCAGAGACGGTTAAAAACCATAATCCATAATCCTGATCAGATGATGTAATCCACACATTTCATGTTTGGCGCTGAAACAGGTCGACCACTTGCTCAGCTGTTCCTGCTTCTTCCTCCCTCTTTGCTTTCCCATCATCCTCCTCTCTTTCCCTCCATTTCCAACCCCCCCCATCTCCCTCTCTTCCTCTCTCTCCCTCTCCCTTTCTCTCCCTCCCCCCCTCCCCATGTCTCTCCCTCCCTCCTTTTTCTTGTCTCCCTCCCTCTCTCCCCCTCTTCATCTCTCTCCCTCCCTCCTTTTTCTTGTCTCTCTCCCTCTCTCCCCCCTTCATCTCTCTCCCCCCTCTCTTCATCTCTCTCCCTCCCTCCTTTTTCTTGTCTCCCTCCCTCTCTCCCCTCTTCATCTCTCTCCCTCCCTCCTTTTTCTTGTCTCTCTCCCTCTCCTCCCTCTTTCTCTCCCCCCCTTCATCTCTCTCCCTCCCTCCTTTTTCTTGTCTCCCTCCCTCTCTCCCCCCCTTCATCTCTCTCCCTCCCTCCTTTTTCTTGTCTCCCTCCCTCTCTCCCCCCCTTCATCTCTCTCCCTCCCTCCTTTTTCTTGTCTCCCTCCCTCTCTCCCCCCTTCATCTCTCCCTCCTCCCCTTCATCTCTCTGCCTCCCCCCCTTCATCTCTCTCCCTCCCTCCTTTTTCTTGTCTCCCTCCCTCTCTCCCCCCCTTCATCTCTCCCTCCTCCCCCTTCATCTCTCTGCCTCCCTCCCTTCATCTCTCTGCCTCCCTCCTTTTTCTTGTCTCCCCCCCTTCATCTCTCCCCCCTTCATCTCTCTCCCTCCCCCTTCTTCTCTCTGCCTCCCTCCTTTTTCTTGTCTCCCTCCCCCCCTTCATCTCTCTGCCTCCCTCCTTTTTCTTGTCTCCCTCCCCCCCTTCATCTCCCCCCCTTCATCTCTCTCCCTCCCTCCTTTTTCTTGTCTCCCTCCCTCTCTCCCCCCCTTCATCTCTCCCTCCTCCCCCTTCATCTCTCTCCCTCCCCCTTCTTCTCTCTGCCTCCCTCCTTTTTCTTGTCTCCCCCCCTTCATCTCTCCCCCCCTTCATCTCTCTCCCTCCCCCTTCTTCTCTCTGCCTCCCTCCTTTTTCTTGTCTCCCTCCCCCCCTTCATCTCCCCCCCTTCATCTCTCTGCCTCCCTCCTTTTTCTTGTCTCCCCCCCTTCATCTCTCCCCCCTTCATCTCTCTCCCTCCCCCCCTTCATCTCTCTGCCTCCCTCCTTTTTCTTGTCTCCCTCCCCCCCTTCATCTCTCCCCCCCTTCATCTCTCTGCCTCCCTCCTTTTTTTTGTCTCCCCCCCTTCATCTCTCCCCCCCTTCATCTCTCTCCCTCCCCCTTCTTCTCTCTGCCTCCCTCCTTTTTCTTGTCTCCCTCCCCCCCTTCTTCTCTCTGCCTCCCTCCTTTTTCTTGTCTCCCTCCCCCCCTTCATCTCCCCCCCTTCATCTCTCTGCCTCCCTCCTTTTTCTTGTCTCCCCCCCTTCATCTCTCCCCCCTTCATCTCTCTCCCTCCCCCCCTTCATCTCTCTCCCTCCCTCCTTTTTCTTGTCTCCCTTCCCCCCTTCATCTCTCCCCCCCTTCATCTCTCTGCCTCCCTCCTTTTTCTTGTCTCCCTCCCTCTCTCCCCCTCTTCATCTCTCTCCCTCCCTCCTTTTTCTTGTCTCTCTCCCTCCCCCCCCTTCATCTCTCCCCCCCTTCATCTCTCTGCCCCCCCCTTCACTCTCTCCCTCCCCTCCTTTTTCTGTCTCCCTCCCTCTCTCCCCCCCTTCATCTCTCTCCCTCCTCCTTTTTTCTTGTCTCCCTCCCTCTCTCCCCCCCCTTCATCTCTCTCCCTCCCTCCTTTTTCTTGTCTCCCTCCCTCTCTCCCCCCTTCATCTCTCCCTCCTCCCCTTCATCTCTCTCCCTCCCCCCCTTCATCTCTCTCCTCCCCCTTTTCTTGTCTCCCTCCCTCTCTCCCCCCCTTCATCTCTCCCTCCTCCCCCTTCATCCTCTCCCTCCCCCCCTTCATCTCTCTCTCCTCCCTCCTCCTTTTCTTGTCTCCCTCCCCCCCTTCATCTCTCCCCCCCTTCATCTCTCTCCCCCCTCCTTTTTTCTTGTCTCCCTCCCTCTCTCCCCCCTCTTCATCTCTCCCCTCCCTCCTTTTTCTTGTCTCTCTCCCTCCCCCCCTTCATCTCTCCCCCCCTTCATCTCTCTGCCCCCCCCTTCATCTCTCTCCCTCCCTCCTTTTTCTTGTCTCCCTCCCTCTCTCCCCCCCTTCATCTCTCTCCCTCCCTCCTTTTTCTTGTCTCCCTCCCTCTCTCCCCCCCTTCATCTCTCTCCCTCCCTCCTTTTTCTTGTCTCCCCTCCCTCTCTCCCCCCTTCATCTCTCCCTCCCCCTTCATCTCTCTGCCTCCCCCCCTTCATCTCTCTCCCTCCCTCCTTTTTCTTGTCTCCCTCCCTCTCTCCCCCCCCCTTCATCTCTCCCTCCTCCCCCTTCATCTCTCTGCCTCCCTCCCTTCATCTCTCTGCCTCCCTCCTTTTTCTTGTCTCCCCCCCTTCATCTCTCCCCCCTTCATCTCTCTCCCTCCCCCTTCTTCTCTCTGCCTCCCTCCTTTTTCTTGTCTCCCTCCCCCCCTTCATCTCTCTGCCTCCCTCCTTTTTCTTGTCTCCCTCCCCCCTTCATCTCCCCCCCTTCATCTCTCTGCCTCCCTCCTTTTCTTGTCTCCCCCCTTCATCTCTCCCCCCTTCATCTCTCTCCCTCCCCCCCTTCATCTCTCTCCCTCCCTCCTTTTTCTTGTCTCCCTCCCCCCCTTCATCTCTCCCCCCCTTCATCTCTCTGCCCCCCCCCTTCATCTCTCCCCCCTTCATCTCTCTCCCTCCCCCCTTCATCTCTCTCCCTCCCTCCTTTTTCTTGTCTCCCTCCCCCCCTTCATCTCTCCCCCCCTTCATCTCTCTGCCTCC